TTTAACCCCCCGCCCACTTTTTTTGTTTTTGTTTTGTTTTGTTTTTGTTTTTGTTTTTGCTTTTCAGAATTTTTCTTGTAAGTTGATTTTTTTCTCTGGCTCCCCCAACCCCTCCCACTTTTAAAAACGAAAATTATATGTTTCTAATTCGACTAATGAATAATAAATAAATCTGCAGCAATATTACTTTTACCAGAAAGAATTCATGACTGTTTTAAAAAATGGGGAAAAAAATCGGTAGAAACTACTTCTACACATCAGTGAAAACTCGTCAGTTTTTTTATTTGCCTGTGTTTGCAGGTACATTTGAAGCATGCCTTGACAACTCAGTGAATCAGCACCATACACTTGATGTTCTCAAATTATTCATATTTTGAGAACTACAGTATCTTTTTGTCAGTATACTTGAATCAATCTATGATTTTTTTTCTTAGAGATGACGCAAGTTATAATTTCGACTATAGTTTTTTTTTTCTCTGTACATTAGAGCTTCGGTCGAAATTACTCTGAGTGCGGGGTCAAAGTTACCCTTCACGTATACAATGTACCTTGTAATTTTATATTCTGACGAATAATGCATGCTTAACAAACAATGACATAATGGTACATAGCTTGAGTACAAAGAAAATTTAATGAATATACAGCACCCACAGACATGTAGCATCAGAGGGGTATGCCCCACCTTGTGCACACATTACTTTTCACTGTTCGAAATGTTCATTGAAATGCTTGTTGCCCCCCCCCCCCCCCCCTTTGAAGCAGTACAGTCAAATAAGGCTAATGTAGTAAAGTATGAAAAAATTGGTAGCGAAAGAAGAATTTTTTTTGCTTATCAGTTTTTTTCAGGTAAGTTGAATTTTTTTTCTCTGGCTGTCCCCCCTCCCCATTTAGAAAAAACGATGCTACGTCTGTGACCCTACCCAAATGCATAATTTGCAGCTTTCATCATCCACATGTCTATACAGATATAACATATATCATGAAAGGCAGCCGAAAGATAAATTAAGTGAATATTGCAACATAAAACATCATCCAAGAAGACACTGTCTATCATATGAATGCTCTTTTATTTCTTTGAAGTGATATTTCACATAAAGAAAAACCTACCTTCTTTCTTTATGAAGTTACGTTTTCTTTTACTAGATACGATATGGGAAAAAAATTATTGCATATACATGCATTGCCCCATTCCACTTTCATAAGGATTGTAGTATATGGATCGTAGTATTCCATGTATTTACTTAAATGTATTGAAAATGGACATTTGATTCGATTAGTTGAGCTTCGACCCCCTCTCCCTCCCCAAGTACACAAACATCTACGCGCGAGCACTTTAAGAATATTACGTTTTCCGGAGAAGTGCCAACTGTTTACTGATTTTTAATGGTTGATTTCTGAAACGTTAGAAAACAATGTTACACTGTATAATTCATTACAATTATTGTCCATTGTGCTCTCTCTCTCTCTCTTACAAACACATAATGTACACTTTTAAATACAAGACACTATATAAGCGCATCACCTAGTAACTTGTTGCCTTTGCATGGATTTATACAGGATATGAGTTTAGATTTCATCCATGCTATAAAACGTAACTTTCCCCAAATGAACACAGCGCACACTAATATATACATGTATACGTATAACCACTGACGCATGACAAATGTGTTTCCTAACCCGTCATAGGTATTTTGGCGTATTTTCTTCTGTTTGTCCGCTTTTAATTACATTGTAAGTGATTACTGAAAATTAGACAGAAGAAATTATCATTTACAAAGTGATTGAAATACTGTCCGTTCTATTATACACATATACTTAATTTTTCCGATTTATTAATTTTAAACTAGGTGCAATAACTGGTCCGGGGAAAACTACAGAGATACGGGAAGTTAGGGCGAGTTACGTTCGGTCGTAAGATGTCGGTATTTCTCTTATAGGACAGTTGATGGACAAACACCACCAAATGTTTTTCCATAGACTTCCATACAAAGTTGAGCCCCTGGCACTGATTCATATATTCAATTTTGGGCAAATGACTTTCTTGCCGTGAAAGTTCGAGATCTTGCAAAACAAAACATGCCAGAAAAAATATACCGTACCGTTGCACTTTTACTTTCAAATTCCATTTGTTTACAACTAGGTGCGTTCAGCACCAAATGAAAATCTCTAACCAAAGTGCACCTCTCCCTTCAAATTTTTACCTGTAACTCCTACATATCTCAAAGAAGCCTAAGTCTTGATATGAGATTTTTATCACCTTTATTTCACTTGTCAAATACATAACAAGTCTTTTCTCTTAATAAAAAATCATGTGCCGTGTAGCATTTTCTTCTCCGCACAACTTTGGGTGTCCAAAATGTCTGCGCCCATGTATAAGGTTATGTAGGTGTTTTTCCTATAGAGATATAGAAACACTTGTGAAAAGTGGTCAATTTAGTACATTTAGAACACATATCCATTGGTTATCTCACCTCATGAATATAGGGACTGACAGTGCTAGCTGAAGTACACCACTGGCTGTTACATTTCACACCCCAGTCAATCAGACCTATACCTGTGAAATAGAAAAAATGCATGTCTATAAATTGAAGCATTTTTCCACTTTTCTTTCAAAATTTTGAAATAAAATGATTAATCTAGCATATGTTTTGCTTGTTTTTCTTATTATCTCTCATAATCTCTTAAGATAGATCATGTTAATCAATAAGGGTATCAGGTACCCGGTATAAATAAAAAATGCAAAAAATCAGCAGGTTTTTGGAGGAAAATGCTCAGTTATGGAAAGAGGAAAAGCTAATGTAGGTAAAATAATCAATGAAAAGAAAGAGAATTATGTTTGATTTAAAAGAACATTAGATTTAAAAAAAATATATTGTAACCGGAAGTAGAACTCTTTAATGAATAACTTAACAAAGTTAATAGCCAACTTGGCTTAAAGCAGTAAACTGCCTCCAGTTATGATTGTCAACCCAGGTAAGGGGATATCTGAACTATGATCAACACTAAATGAAAACACAGTTGTAAGTTTTATAAATTTAATAAAGTGAGAATTAACCTTTGTAAATGATAACAAATAATAAATAATGATCAAATTTAACAAACAGAAAAGTCTTTCAAATTTGCACAGGATTAATAGGGCTTTATCAAAAATGTAATTTAATCTGGTAGGTGATTCACAATAATCTCAATGAATAATCTCAATAAATAAATAAGTAATTGAAAAATGTAATAGAAAATGGGAGGAATGTGGAAAAACTATGAAAAAAATGATTTATGTCCCTACTGGGCTTCCATACTTATGAAAGTTGTCAAAAATCCTATAAAATGAATGAATTAGAAAAGTGTAAAAGGAATGAGCTACATCACCCAATATGACTACTATCAACACTCTAGAGTTGAACTGAAAATATCAATGCTAATTCTAGGTTCTAAAAATAACTAACCCAGAAAATAAACAACACCCAAAATAAATAATAAATAGTGGTTCTAGAAAATAAACCTGTTATCTACATATCCCTAGACCAGGCAGGACTTGGAAAGGGAAACTTAATTTACTTTAAATAACCTACATCCTAACCTATCATATAACTTTATTCTATAAAACCTACATCTAACCTATCATATAGTGCTCGCTCAGCACGTGCTAAATGAAACCTATAATGCCGTGTACCTTGAGGTTGGCATAAAATCAGAGATAATGAGCCATGAGGCTTATCCCTAACCAAGTGAAGTAAACTGCTCGAACACGGGTTTAAATACCCTAGCAAGGTCCAAAATAAAAACCAATGACTATCAAAGATCCTAAAGCTAAGTTAACCAATCAGAACACAGCTATCAAAAGTACTACGGAAAGACTGCCAACATGGATGACACTTCCTATTTAAAAAGTAAAACATGTGGAATGTCAACTCATGTCCTAACTTATAAACGACAAATAATAAAGGGGTTTTACGTAAGTAACAACTGAAAACAAATGATAAATAGAATAATCTGACTGAAATATCAGCAAATACTTATAAAATATTATTTACGAAACGATGGCTATGAAATAAAAATCTAAACCACTACAATATATATCAGGAATGGGTTGCTGGCATCAGAGAATCAAATACACCCCCACTGAAAATTTTGTAATTCTGAAGGGGGTTTTAGCCATTGTTATAGGAAATTTCATGTAATAAATGTTAAATATGTATATTCTCATGAAAGGCAAATATATTTATTTGCATATCATTTCTAATTATTGACATAATTAATAAATTGATTAAATGCCATGCGCCCACGTATAAGGTTATGTAGGTGTTTTTCCTATGATAGGGACAGAAAATGAAAGTAACCTCGGCGTTTTACATTCGAATACGGAATTAGAACGCGGTTTTTTCAAATTTATAATTAGCAGCTGTGTTAACTAGTAGAAAAACCCCGAGATTTTCGAATGTGTTTTCGTTTTCTGTCCCTATCAACTGTCCTAAAGAGCGAGTTATTATGGCTAGTAACATTTACACATGGTCTGAGATCGATTAGGGATATGTAATTTTTAGCCTTCGTAACCTTTGATGGACTAGGACTATATTTATGATTTGCCGCTTTTCTTACCGGTTTTTGAACACATATGGGCACTATGACACCGCATCCACCTCTGCCTCTGGGCTTCTGACTGGTTTTTGTACAAAAACTTCCGTTTGTGGGTGGCAAAGCCGCCCTTTGCATGTCCCATTTTCTCTCGTCTGTCAGTTCGAAAAATCGCGCGTTGTAGTTACTATGGAGATCGGAAACGTCACCAAAATTCCTCTACCTCAACCTCAATACTCAGCCTCAAATTCTTGAGGTTCACTCAAGTGAGGAAAATTCCTCAAACCACCGTCACCAAACCCTCTGAGGGTTTCCTCAGTTGAGGTGCATAAAAATGTACTCAACTCAATTGAGGCGAGACATGAAACTATTCGTGCATTTTAACGCTATTGTTTACGCAATAAAATTTGTCGTCTGATTTAGAAAATATGGCAGAAATTGACATTGCAGCCTTACTGACAAAAAACACGTTAGAATTCGTTAAAGGTACTGATGAGGTTATAACTGCACAGAAGAAAAAAAGGGGAGCTAATTGGTCGGCCGAAGAAGAAATTTATTTGATAGAGGAAGTGTTAAAATATGAAGATCAACTTTTTGGAAAAATGAAGGGTTCGGGTGTGAGAGGAAAACATGGGCGGGTTAAAGATGAAACCTGGCGGGGTATTGCTGACATACTGAACGGGTAAGTACATACCTTCAACCCTACGTACCAGACGACTCCGCATTATCTCCCCATTGGTGTAACGTTAATTCGTACCTTGTCTGTTTCAATCCGATTATTATTCTTTGTTCTTTTAAAAAAAAAGGAACGACTTTACTTTACCGGTCCCCAGAAAAACGCGCTAAAATATAGTGTCGCCGTAGGCGACTTCAGTATATATGAGATCGCGTGAGCGATCGAAAAAAATTAAAAGTATGAGGATTTTAGCCTTTTTGACCCCAAAATCGAATTCTACAGATAAAAGTTTAGTTAAAAACTTCGTTTTTAAACGAAGTTTTTAACCTCGTTTTCTGAAAAAAGTGATTAATACTGTTTATTCAGTGAAAAGGAGACAAAAAATAATTGTCAACAGAGCGCGTGCGGCGCATGCTTAGTGCCGTTTCTTTCGTACTTAGCCTTTTTTTCATGTAAACAAACCAAAGAGATGTCGTTAAAGCTGAATTAAGATCTTGCAAAAATACAGATGCAACTGAATATCTAATTTATCTTTAAAAAAAAAAACAAGACACTAACCCTAATCCCTCGGATGGTAAGCGAGGACTAACCCAAATCTCCCGGGCGGATGCTAGACTAACCCATGTGCGAGGACTAACCATAATCTCTCGGATGGATGCGAGACTAACCCTAATCAGTTGAAAACTTGTCCAAGGACTAACCCTAATCTCTCAGGTGGGTGCAAGACTAACCCTAACCAGTCAAAAAATGTGCAAGACTAACCCTTATCAGTTGAATGACGTAAATCTTACGTCATAATGCAATGAGCGCGCGGATCTTGCGGATCTGGGGACCGGTAAAGTAAAGTCTACCCCAAAAAAAATATTAATAAATTAAGAATTTAATATTATATTTAAAAAGTACGCATGTGAATAATTTCTCTTCAACTTGTGAAAAGATAGGCCTATTTGACAAAATACTTTACATTGATTTTACGCCTTGCTGTTTGTATTCGATGTAGGCAGTTTAAAAATGAAAGAACGGCAGAGACGATTTCAAAGAAATACGATAACATCAAGCAGCGGGGTATGTGCTTCGTTCAGAAATATACATGTACGCATGTATGAAAATCAAAATTCATAAACTTTGCAATAAATTTATTCATGTGCATCATTCCTTTGAACTAATATGTACGTATTCCCACCCCATGAGAGAGAGAGAGAGATTTTACTCTTCAGTGGACAGTCTTTTTTTTTTAAACGAATTGTTTTCTTTTGTGTGTATGTCTAGCTAAAGACAAAATAGATGCCCTTAAACGCCCGAAAACTGGAGGAGGTCCAGCTAAAGCACCCCTTACAGCCGCAGAGGAGTGTCTCCTTCAAGCTTTTGACGGTCGCCCTAACATTGTAGGACTCGACGGAGGCATTGATTCTGATGGTACGTACAGTACCCGCATCGTTATTCTTTACAATTCTATCGTGTCCTATCGTGCGTTTATCCTATCGTATCGTGCGTGTATCCTGTCGTATCGTGCGTGTATCCTATCGTATCCTATCGTATCGTGTTTTGCGTTTATCAGGTTTTGCGTTTTCTATCGTGTTTTCCGTTTATCAGGTATTGCGTTTATCGTGAAGATCGTTTATCAGGTTCTATCGTGTATCGTGTTTTGCGTTTATCGTGTGCATTCGGAAACCCTCACTTTTTATCTTTACATTGCAAAGAAACACCCGAGATATCTCGAGTTCATCTTTCGTTTTGTTAATTTATTTAGGATTAATCTAACTATTGAACAAAAAGAGAAATTAATACTCTAACTCTGGTATATTTTTTAAAGAAAATAAATAAATAAATAAATAAATAAATAAATAAAGAAATAAATAAATAAATAAATAAATAAACGTCAAGTACCGTCACCAAGCAGAGAGCATAGATCGAAAGTCAAATTCTATTTTTGTACATGAAATAATCGATCTTCTATTTTGAGTTGTTTTTTTTTAAATTTGTCGATATGTAAGAAATATTTTTGTCAAAGATAGAAATATTATAATCCCTTTACACAGTCAGAGTCACAAAAGCGAGACCTTTATTAACTTTGTTTTGATAATTATATAAACATAAAACATAATAGGTATGTGTGCAAAAAATAAAGTATGAATAAAAAAATATCAGTATCTTTATTAAGGCTATCCTTTTTATCAATAACGGGAACATAAATTTTGTCTATGCGCGCAAGTTTTGTTCCTTTGTATTATTATTTTTCTCTGATAAGTATGTATTATAATATAGATGTTTGCCATTCATATTTAACTACTGCATTTAGAAGATGTAAAAAATAAATAAATAAATAACAAAACCACACAAATTTTTATTATACATCTTACCTACTTCGGCCGAAGATGAAGTAATATATACCGTACATGTAACTTAGTGACAGGTGGAAGCGTTCCCGTGACAAGAGAACTGACACCTACCTGCCTAATCAGTACACTGTCTTCTTGTCAAGTCAAGACCCCTCCCCCCCTTTCACCTACATGACCGGCCCGTGTGTATTCAACGTAGACATACCTGAACTCTAGCTCTCACCTGGTGTCAAGTATTTACCTTGAACCATACTGGGTTTCAATGAAATGCATCTACTTATTTTCTGGATATTGTTCATAATTTTTATGAACAACACTTGATTAACAATTAAAGATTTTATACTAAGAAAACTGGTAAATGTACACTTCCCTTACAGATTAAAAATTGAATAATTGAATCAAATAAAATATAGGCGAAGTTTGTCCTCCAAACTCCGTTGATTTAGTTCATTTGTATATCTTTATGTAATTTTTATAGGTTTACAGTCATAAACATGATTGGTGTGATCAAATAAAAAAATGAGCTTGCGGTACTTCTGGATCTTAGGGTTTTCTGTGTTGTCTGTCGTTGTTACATGTAAAGGCGTCTCAAAGATACATGGAAAAAAAAAATCGCCCGGTTCTGCGGTGATACACAAGACTGGTAAATACCTTATATTTAATTTTATTCGTGTTTATCGATTGCATATAATACGTGACTATATTGAAGAAGTCAATATATATTTTAATTTTATTTTTATTTATTTTTTTTTCAGGGTGGGGGGCTTTTTGAATCGGATTTTTTTTGGGAGGGGGGTTATGACCCCCCCTTCCCCGCTGACTGTGCCTCAAATGGGGTTAAGACTTTCATAATTTACAAAGTTTTGTCTAATTTTGCCGATGTCGTCCTATATAAGATAGGTTTTGTAACAATTATTACAAAGTCTAATAGCAATAATTGACAATTATTCAATCCGAAAAACCACTTGTCAAATTGTGGAAATTAATTTATTATTTATTTTTTGTGTGTTCTAATATGTTGTAAACAAGGGTACGTACATGTAACCATTCAATGTTATTTAATACAAAGTTTAAGTACCCAATAAATATATTCATATACATTGTAAGCTTAGTTTACACGTATCTATAGTAGATACAAATTCTGTACATGTAATTGTAAATGCTTATAACACAAGCACGCTAAGAAAGCAGTATCATTTCTTTGGGGACGGCCGGCTGGAGGGGGGGGGGGGGTCTAAAAAGAAATGTTTTGAAAAGCAAACAAAAATGGCTAAAGACATTATTATTGTCGATGGGCAATATCATATAAGCATTATATTACTACTGTATACTACACATGTTGGTACATTGTTACATTTTTTTTATTTATACGACTGCATGCTCCCTTCTAGCTTAATCTTACAGGCCTATAACATGAAAAATACCAAAATAAATACAAAAGAATGGAAATGCGATATTTTTTCGGATAATAGATGATGACAGATCTAGTGACGTTTATTAATTTTATTAAATTCGATTTTTTTTCGCAGGTCTCCTTCCTCATATATACATATACAATGTATGTACTTGGAATGTACTTGGAATATGTAAATAATTTCTATGTGCACGGGATATGTGTGACATATATATTTATATATAGGAGAGACTGATTATTCACAGTCCAGAGCACGGTCTGCCTCAATGCAACTAGCAAATTCAGCAATTTAGAAAAAAAAAATTAATTAATATAAAATATAAATCAAATTCGTGAAAACTTGGAGGACAAAGCATCAATCTTAAAATAATTATAACAATAATTTTTCACCCCCCCCCCAATTATGACTAGTCTTTTTTTTTATTTTTTATTTTTTCAAATATGAATTATTAAATACAAACTATTAAAGGCGATTTTGGATACTTTGCAGACTTCTAGCAAAAGATAGTGAATCCAAATATTTCATTTTTTTTTTCTTTTTACATGTTTTTCCGTAAAAATAATCAATGTTTGTTATGAATTTCATAAGGTTTTATTTGTTAAAATAATGAATATATTTATAGCGTTTCGTGAATTTATTGCACTTGTCTACGGACTCAAAATTCAAATTTAATGATTCGGGGGAATTTTCGGCATTTGTATAATTACACAGAAAAATCGCCTAATTTCCATCATAGAGAAATTATTCTTAAAATAATTACAGTTTGAATTTGATGACGATCAAATTTATTGACAAAAACACCATATCTTTTACAAAGCATAATTACTTCAAATGTTTTATCATGATAAATTAAAAATGTTTTATCATTTCGATTTGCGGCTTTGTAAGTAATTAAAATTATCATACTATAGTATATCAAAAAGAAAACTTTTCGTCTTGCCAAAAAACGTTTCGCATTTTGAAACAACCCTATCAGGTTTTGCGTTTATCCTATCGTGAAGATCGTTTATCAGGTCTATCGTGTTTTGCGTTTATCGTATTTTGCGTTTATCGTGTTTTGCGTTTATCGTGTTTTGCGTTTATCCTATCGTGCGTGTATCCTGTCCTATCGTGCGTGTATCCTATCGTATCGTGCGTTTATCCTATCGTATCGTGCGTGTATCCTATCGTATCGTGTATCCTGTAAAGAATAACGATGCGGGTACTGTACATGTATACGAACCGTAAGTAAGCACGCTTTTGATAGACTGTTGCAAGAGCTAGGCTCTGTTTTTTTTCTCTTTCTTCAACAGCTGGTCAGTTGAAGTTATTACTCCAGGCCCTTGAAACACAGTCCCGCCCCATTTTTTCTGAGTATTGTCTGTTTTGTTTTACAGTTTTAATATGTAAATTTTCATATAGATGCTATAGATGCCCCTTCTTTGTTGCTGTCAGGTCGAAGCTGGAAAATGTCAACATTTGATAAAAATGTACGAAAAAGTTAGACCCCCCCCCCCCCAGCGAAATAGGATTTTAATTTGAGTTTAGACAGTTTACTTTTTTAATTTGCTTGTCACAATTTTTAGAAGGTTGCCTATCTTTAAAACCGTTGCTCAATTCAGACAGAAATACATGTATATCGTAATTCCACCAATCTTACAGAGCCCGCACCTTCCAGTACCTCGCTACCCGTGCCTGATCATGCTGATACGATAATGGAAGTCCTCACTGGACCTTCAGCTACGTGTAGCCTTGTAGAGCCTTGTGGAGACGGCAGCCGCTCACACAACATATGTATGTTTTCCCAGTATTTTGTTTCCTTGTGATTGCTCAAATATAGTTAGATATTGTTATACATGTATAATTATAGTATTTTTTATTTTTAGTGAAAAGTTCAAATGGACGAAAGAACAAGAAGAATAGCAGGCGTGATATTATAGAGGAAGCAGAGAGATGTAATCTGGAGTTGGAAAACCAGGTGTTAAAGTCCACGGCGAAAAAGTTTAAGTTAGAGAGAGAGAAGTTGAAAAGTGAAATTAAGTATATACATATGCAGAAGGAGTATTTATTGCTGAAGATAAGCAAGGAATTTCCTGGTCATAATAAAACACTTTCACAGCCATCACCATCATCATCCGATTCAGAATGATAAGAATATAAAAAAATCAGTAGCCCTTCTTACAAAACCTGTTACTCTCACTAGTTATGGAACCTATACATATTTCAATCACAGCAAATTGTTCACTGTTCTTTCGTTATACATTGAATATAACTTTAGTTATAGTAATAAAAAAAAATAAATTAAAAAAATAATGAATTAAAAAAATAAATAAAACGAGACGGATTACGTGAAGAAAACTAGTTTTTATTTATGCTTTTTCTTCTGCTGGTTTGCTGGTATCCTTTAATTCTGAAATGAAATAAATTTTCATTACCAATTAGTGTCAATGGGTATGATATTTTTGCATGTCATTTTTAAAGAGCACATTAATAAAAATTATTATCTGATAATATTACGGATGTTTACTTGTTTCCTTGTCTATCCAAAGTATGTCTGAGCAATATAGTCACGCATGTGACTGCCCTCTGTCCCATTACACGCAACGTGGTGGTCCGTGGGATTGTAGTGAATCACGTCCTGTCTGTCCATCGCAATATCCCCACGCTCTATCCCGATATTGTGCAAAACCACGCACGCAACAATGTAGGCCGCTGCTTGGTCTGGGCAAGTTCTGAAAGTGTACATATAACAAAGTGAAGCATGATATAAGAAGTTAAAATTCTTGACGCAGTTTAAACAAAATTCATTACCTAAGTGTTCCCTGAAGACAGGAAAAACGCCTTTTAAGGATGCCGAAACTCTGCTCGACTAGCACCCGTGTTCTACAGAGGGATGCATTGAACCTCTGCTGGGCCTCTGTAGTTGGGCTGAGATATGGAGTCATCAGAAACCTGCGACATGGATACCCTGAGTCTCCTAGAAGGAGGCCTTTGTGCTCACCTGAAGTTAAAAAAGGGAATGATTATATACACATTGTACATGAATAGTTATGTAACTTTTGTCTTGAGATAGCTACAAGCACGTACATGTAGCACCAAGGGGGCCAGCCCCCCCCCCCCTCCTACTTTTTTCCAAACATAATTTTTACTATTGAAAATGTTCATTGAAAGACCGGTGCCCCCCCCCCTTTTGTTGCAGTAAAGTCAAATAAGGGAAATAAATCCACCACCACCCCCTTTTTTTTTTTGCTTCTCAAGTTTTTTTTTCAGGTAAGTTGAATTATTTTTCTCTGGCTGCCCCCCCCCCCCCTTTCCAAAAACGATGCTACGTTCGATCTGAGCTATATAAAGATTGTAAATATACCCCTTTCAAATTGCCTGCATAGTGCTGATTCTCTCCAGATCCTACTGTCATGCACACTGCCCGGCCAATTGGCACAAACGCTGGTAATGCGAAATTTTGCATCACACACCATCTATTTAATAAAATTACACGTGTTACTTAAAGTATTGAGGATAAAGGATACAAATTTGAAATCGAAATTTAATACGATTACCTGCACATTCAAAGAATGAAATCCCTTCCGATTCACAAAGTCTGGTTCGTTTTCTGAAGGGCCTTGTATCTTCACAAACGTCCCATCTACACACCCCAAGACATTTGGGAACCCTAGATTGAAAATTTCTGACCATGCTTATTTGGATACTTCAGATTTAAAAAAAAAAGTAAATATCATCGATGTATTTACCAATTATTTAGCATGATCAATATGAATTTTGAAAGCACACAGACTTTATTTAATTACAGTTTTAGCATAAGGTGTGCTTTTACATGTACATGTATAGGAAGTTTGAAAGTTAAAAATATCATTTGATTTTTAGAATACAACACCCCAATCTACTACATGTAGTGCATTAATAAATAGAATTTTGAGTCTTTTTATAGAATAAAATAAGTTATGATGAAATAAAAGCAGCGTACTTGTTACATCTGCTTACATGTAACTAATTGTGTGTCGGTCACAGAAATCGATTAAAATTTTCTGATATTGATGGCAATATTAATTGATTAATAATAATTTCGTTAAGTTTATGAAGAATGATTTATAAAAATATTAATGTCTAGCATTTTTTTTTGAAATTGTTATAAAAAGGAGGATCCAACCCTGCCCTTCTCAAATCGTTCTTCTTCGCCTTATTTTTTTTAAAGGGGGGGGGGGGTGGGGTTAAGGGTAACAGATAACAAAACAGTACCTGTATATGCCTTTATATGCCCAAAATAATCAACAATTTAAATCCACTATTGAGCTTTGAACAGTTGAATACTTTGAAATATTTGGTGTTAAATCCGTTTGTCACTACATGGATGACAATATTAGGAATTTCTCACAAATAATAATAAATAAATACATTCGCTTACAGACGTTACTGATATTGCATTTCTTTTGAATGATTTTGTTTCGTTTTATTTTTTTTCTACATGCTCACAATGCTTTTTGCAATAAAACATTAGATTTCATTACGATAAAACAGATTAAAAAACGTTCTATTTCAACGTTTAAGTCGACTTCTCAATGTACGATTGCCCAAGCATAGGATAGTCCAAGAGTTATTCCTCTTGTACATATTCTGAAAATGAAAGTAAGAAAGAGCAGACGCTGAGTGACTAGTTACCTGCGATCTTCAAAAATTCCTGTTTTGTTTGTCTGGCTGTTTGGTCCCTCGGAAACATGATGAAGTCTTTCCGAATGTTGTTGATGGCCTGGGTCACAGAACGGCAACATCTACCGACTGTGCACTCAGAAACATTTACACTGTAACATTTACTCCGATCAATTTATGAAAAGCACCCGTAGCCAGAAAACGCAAACAGACCAACAGCTGCAACAGTGGAGGTAAGGCTTGATTTTTTGTGGTGTTTATTAGTTTGTGTTCAATCAGAGTCATCAAATAGACGATTGTAGGCCGCCGAAATCGAAATCGTTCGTAAAGTTCGTCGTCTGTGTACACTTCCATAGGATTTAGACGATCTTTTACTACCCTACGTTCGGGTCTTTCTCTCCTCAGCAAAAATCTTCTATATTTTCGTCGTCTTCTACGCCTGTCCGCCATTTTAATTTCCTTGAGTAAGCTTTTAAGGTTGCTATAGAGTTATATTTAAATATTTGAGTATTTACTCAAAATTCTGTTGAGGAAAACTCAATTTTTGCGTGGTGACGGTGACTTGAGGGTGAGGTTATGAATTTGAGGGAAAACCTCAGAGTTGAGGCTGAGTATTGAGTTAAGGGATGTTGGTGACGGCGGGGCCAGTTGTCGTAATAAAGACAAGACGTACTCGATGACAATGCAGATGATTTTAATTCGTATTTTTATCGAAAAAATATATGCAGGAAAGGTAGATGCACAGCATAATTAATTATTTAATGTTTCATACACTTCAACTGACGTTACATTTGTAGTGGTTTAGATTTCTATTTCATAGCCCTTGTTTCGTAAATTACATTTTGCAAGTATTTGTTGGTATTTCAGTCTGATAATTCTATTTACCTTATGTTTTCAGTTGTTACTTACGTAAAACCCCTTTATTATTTGTCTTTTATAAGTTAGGACATGTGTTGACATTCCACATGTTTTACTTTTTAAACAGGAAGTGTCATCCATGTTGGGAGTCTTTCCATAGTACTTTTGGTAGCTGCGTTCTGATTGGTTAACTTAGCTATAGGATCTTTGATGTTTATTGGCTTTTATATTTGGGCCTATAGCTAGGGTATTTAAAGCCGTGTTCGTGTAGTTTACTTCACTTGGGTTGGGGAACACAACCTCATGGTTAGTTCCTCTTTACTGTGCTAAGAAAACCTCATGGTTTATGAGCACTATTTGATTAGTACCTTAGAGTGCTAAGAAAACCTCATGGTTTAACAGTACTCTAGGTCTTAGCTAGCTTTAGTTTCATGTTTTTCACAAGTTCTAGGTTTTTGTTAGGAAACAGTTAGGATGTAGGTTTTATAGAGTTAATTTAGTTTTCCCCTTTCCAAGTCCAGCCTGGTCTAGGGATTTGTAGATAACAGGTATAATTCCTAGAACCACTATTTACTATTTATTTATTTATTTTTGGTGTTGTTTATTATCTGGGTTAGATATTTTTAGAATCCAGATTTAGCATTATTATTTTAAGTTCAACTCTAGAGTGTTGATTAGTAGAGTTCATATTGGGTGATGTAGCTCATTTCCCTTACATTTTTCCAAATCATTGACATTTATAGCAGTTTTTAATAGGATTTTTGACCTTTTTCATAAGTATGGAAACTCGGTAGGGACATAAATTATTTTCATAGGTTTTTCACATTCCTCCCATTTTTCCTATTAAATTTTTCACAAACTTCTTATTTATTTATTGAGATTATTGTTATTCACTTGCCAGATTAAATTATATTTTTGATAAAACTATTTATTCCTGTGCAATTTTGAAAGACTTTATTCTTGTTTAAATTTTGACTATTATTTATTATTTGTTATCATTTACAAATGTTAATTCTCACTTTATTAAATTTATAAAACTTACAACTGTGTTTTCATTTAGCGTTGATCATAGTTCAGATATCCCCTTACCTGGGTTGACAATCATAACTGGAGGCAGTTTACTGCTTTAAGCCAAGTTGGCTATTAACTTTGTTAAGTTATTCATTAAAGAGTTCTACTTCCGGTTACACATTGAATGCAACTTTCATTCCACTTTGTGTTTAAAAAAGCTCACACTCATTCAGACTTAATTAACCCATAGCAACAACTCTGAATACCTATAGCTAGCAACCAATTTTGTAACCACTTTACCCTTTTACATACAGGCATTTTTTTTTTTTGAAGCTGAAATGAGATTTTCCGAAAAAGGCCTTCTGAATGAAAAATAAACACAAATAGATACAAGTAGTATGTATCAAAATATCTTTGTTGATGTAAAGATTCCATAGAATAAATAACTCATGGGTTGCGATGGTAACAAGTTCCACACTGGCCAGAAAACAAACTTTTTGTTTGCGAAATACTTGGCCGCAGTTTTTGCTTATTATTAAAATTGACAAAACTAACTGGTTATACAAGTAGCTTTAGCATACCTGTTTCTTCAGATAGTATATTTTTTTATGATTACCG